GGAAACAGAAATAAGATTTAAAGTTTTCACTTGACTTGGTGGCAGATGAGATGTGGGGAGTGGGGGAATAGATGGATTAAAGATGTGAGTTTCCTAGGTATGTAGATGAATGGTGATGGTGGAAGAAGAGGTGCTTTAGGAGACAGGGTGCCCTTCTTTATTCCTTTTTTTGTATGGGATTCTTTATGTTGATGTCTTTAATCCACAGGCACTTAGAAATTTAGGATGCTACTCACATTGTTTAGAATCTGTTGTTAGGGAGTATAAGAGAGTTAAACAGGGGCGGGTATATTCTAAATTCCTGTTTGTTGTGTTAATCTTCTGATGGCATTTAACTAATAAGAATTATAAATTCATAATTTTACCAATGGACAATACTGAAGTTTATGGCCTCAAAAATTCCCTATCTGATGGCCCTGCTTAGAACATTGTTTCTGCCTCTGTTTATATTTTGCTGTATTTTTTTCTCCTTTAGTGAAGATAGAGACGGGGAGAAGCACCATATTCTTGAAAGCATCTTGATTTGTTAATATGATTTAATGTTGAGGTTGCACAAAATATTCAGTGAAGAAACAGTAGTTAAAAGACAGTGTGTTGAAAGAAAGGAATTCACATGTGCAGCTTATGGCCGAATGATATGGCAGTGACTTGTGCATATGCCCTTGCACAATGCCTGCTCTGTGGAAGGTTTGTACAAATAGTAACATTGGCAAAATGACTGTTATCTACAAACCAAGAAATTTATTGAAACAACAGATCAGAACTCAGTTATTTTTGTGTCATTTCTTAAAGCAGAAAATTACCAATTCTTTTCATTAAAAACTGAATTACGTACTTGGGGCTAAAGTAATATTTTCACTTGTTGCTGCCTGTAATATTGTACCTCATGAGAACCACAAGAGTAACAATACTTAAGAGTAATGAAGTTGTTCATTTGTTTTTTCATTTTCTTTACATGATATAAACTAATTTTGAAACCTAAATGATATATTCCCTCATTTTACACTCAAAATTAGACTCCCAAAATTATGTGTATCTGACCATTTGGGGGACCATTTCTCCAAGAAAGGAGACTCTGATCCAAAAAAAAGATTTAGAACCACTGTAGGTGATTGGCAGATAGTCACATACTAAGTCCTGAGGGAAGCTAAACAGGACCCAGTTGTTCCAAATGTTTGTTATAGTCTAAACCCACTACCTCATACACATAAGCACTCAATAATTATGACTAACTAGAGCCAGCTGCCAGGACTTGAGAAAAACACAGAGGGTTCTACAGATAATATACTTGTATATTTGTCTAGTACTTTATAGTTTTCTAAGCTGTTTCTCATAAATTATCTCATTTGTTCTTCAGAACAACTAACCTACTAGGACAAATACCTGTGCTGTCGTTTGAACCAAGCTCTTGAATGGATGGGATTTTTAAGAAGACTTAATGGACATTATAGCATGAGCAAAGGCAGAATATAGGAAAGGGTAGAACATGGCGGGAATAGTGAGTGACATACTGACTGGAAAGGAGGCTGGATTTGGCAAAGTGAAGGGAAGGTAGAAAAGAAGGTTGGACACCTTCGTTACAAGCTTTGATATCTGCCATACTACCAAGTTGTTATTGTGCCAATGTTCCTGATTTTTTATGTCTAATGTTATCTCCCATTCCTTCACACAAAACCAATATGGTCTATCTACTAACTTTTCCTCAAGCTTGTTTCTCACATTCCAGTGTCCATTCCTTTGCCCTGAACATTTGTCCCTCTGTTTTCAGAATTATACCCATCCTTCAAGTCCCAGTATAGATCTTACCTGTGAGGTCCTCCCTAACTCTCTAGGTAGTTTTCCTATTCCAAACGTCAGAGCATTTAAATGAAATTAAAAGACACTCGGTTAGGGCCGGCCCGGTGGCGCGCTGGAGAGTGCGCTGCCTGGCGCCGCTCCTGCCGAGGGTTCGGATCCCATGTGGAGACCGGTTCCCGCTCACTGGTTGAGCGCGGTGCGGGCACAACACCAAGGGTTGCGATCCCGTTGCCGGTCCCCGGTGCGGGCGTGACACCGAGGGTTGCGATCCCGTTACCGGTCAGTAAAAAAGACAAAAAGGAAAAAAAAAAAAGACACTCGGTTAGCCCTTGTGAAATAATACTCATGGGTATGTTAACTATTCCTGGTTTTGATTATCTAGCTGAATTATAAATTTAAGGGGGAAGGGAAGAGCTTGATATATTTCCCGGTGCTTAACCTTTAGGCCTTAAGCATAGTAGAAAATACTTGTTGGTTAAGTCTCTAAATACAGTATAAATTTAGTTTAACTCTCTTGTCTCTTACTAAGTAATAAAAATTATTTTGTCTATAGTACCTAGCACTCTGCTAATAATTTATTGGAGATAAAAAATATAGAAGACAATTTCAACCCTTAACCCTTTAGACATTTGCAGTCGAGTGGTTTTATTGATAATTAATTAGGTAGCAAAATACTTGAGTTTGTCAGAGGATTTGGGTATCAAATTATGGAACAAGCTTTAAGTTCTTAGCCTAATTAGAGTGAAAATAAAAGTTAAATGATGGTGGTGTCAACTACAAGTTGTAGAATAACTCTCCAACAGCCTCTTTGGTATAATATCACTTTAAATTTCATTTTTATTTCATAGAAATGTTACTCATTGAAGAAAAGTTGTCCTGTGATAAATGGGCATTGATTTAAACCTATGATAATTGGTTCATTTTTATTATTATTTTTATTTATTTATTTATTTATTTTTGTCTTTTTCTGTGTCCGGCAACGGATC